CAATATTTCTTGATCAGGCAAAATCAACACGCATTACTTACTAACAAGATTGCAACTGTCAATTTAAATGACCAATCTCGATACAAAGTCAATTGAAATGGTAAAAATATATCAACAAGAAATTAGTCCTGATAAAAGATAATACATGTATTTTCACTTCTCTTTGAAACTTGATTACATTAATTAAAACATGATCTGTCACTAAAATAATCTACAAATCTTCAATAATCAACAGTTACTGCACATACAGGAAAATGACACATAATAAGATTAGAAATGAAATATTGAGAAACATAAAATTTTATCCAGATCCTGTTATAATATACTTTGGAAATAAAAATATGTTGGGTTTTCCACCCCAGCTAAATATTGGGGACAAACAAACTACATCTTCGACAATGAGCATCACAGGTGCACTTAAAGTTCTAGTGCCCCGTGAAGCTATAACAGTAAACTTATATTTTCTACCGTTGGACTGGCTTGGAAAAACCTACATTTGCCAAGTCCTTGATAAAAACAATTGAGAGATCTTTACTTGATTTTTTATTTAAATAATAATAGATTTGACTGTGAACATTGTCATATTTTCTTGTTAATAGAGGCACTGTCACACAGTGGGGATATTCATTTTGTAATCCAATAATCTGATAAATAAAATCAGACAGATTATGGTCATGTAAAGGTAAATGCATGTATCCACTTAGTATTGCGGAAGGCTTCTTAAGGTTAAGTGTTTAAACACTGGAAAAATGATCAGCGGACAGCGTTGCAGGACTCGGAGCGGTTACTTTTTTGTTTTAGTTTAAAGTGAACTGCCGACGGTGTTACCGGATTCGAAGCGGCGACCTCTCATTTATTTTGTAATGTATGGGTTGCTTCACTAAACACATGGAGCTAAATCAGAGCTGTATGAGGGATGAAGTTCGTGTAAAGTTTCAATAGTACTGCCCAAAAGATAAGAAAGAACCAGAAACTGTTGATCGATAGGTGTCCTGCCATGAAGAATTTTAATTCAACGCACGCAGAAACATGGATGGACTCTAGCATAGTAATCAGCAACTTCTGACAAAAACTTGTGCCAAGGTAAGGAATCTAGCAATTATTACCAGGGAATAAAAAATAGTGCTGTACTTTGAAGTACGAATTTAACGGACTATTTTGGAACTTCCATCGTTTCGAACGATCCACACCTTGTTTGTACTCTATAGCCCATGGAAATAGGATTACGGTAAAACTGATGCTTTTTTGTTAAGCATTTATGTCCATTTTTCGCTTAACTGATATTCATGACTGTGTTTATATCACCGATCTAGTACAGACATTGATGACAACGTACACATTCAAAGAAATTAATTTTTTTATTGAAAGAAGTAACAAATCATTATTGTAGCATCACATAATTCCCATATACTCGTACATGTATTACAATATCACATATAAAACCAAAAGAGCTATAATATTAAAATGTAGAGGAAGCTATGACGTCATACACTTAAAATCTGTATCATAATAATAATATAAATAATAAAATCTTTATTTATTATAGAATAGCATACAAAGTTTACAAAGTGACTGAAACTCATATTTTAATCATAGTAATAACAAATAATTTCAAAATAATTAAAATAATAAACAATAGATTATTTAGTCCAAACTTCAATACTGAAATAAGAAAAATACCTGTAAATGATTATTGTAAGGTTTACTTTAAAGATGAATGATCGAGCGAAAATAATGTAATTCATTGTCAAGGATTTATAATCACGCAAGTTCAAATTTTTGCGAGATTTTCCGAGACCCGGTTTGACAAGAGAGATTTTACCGATGCTTATATATGTATACATGTTATCTAAAAATTCTTATGGTAAAAAAAAAAGTAGTTTCAAAAAGGTATTAAAAAGTAATAAAGATTAAGAAGATGTTAATTGTTCTTTGTATTGGATGAAATGTTAACAACTTATGTTATATAAAACAAGATGGCGGAAATTAATCAACTCCAAGAGAATTTCGCAAAAAGGATTGTGGGTCAAAATTTGAAAATTTCCTATTTTTAGAGCTTCTTATCCTTCTGTTATAAAAGTCTCTGTTAAAACATATATTACATGTAAATAAGAAAAATACACAATGACATAATATAAAAAATCAAGTAAAAAGTTTAAAAAGAGTAAGCAATACAAACTTTGAGCAATCAATTATGTTCACATAAATATTCAATGCCGAAACAAGTAGAACTGTCTTGTTGATTCCCTGTTACAGGGAACGGTAGCAATTTAAGTAGTAATGCTTAATATATAAATAAAATGCTAATATAAATATTGTCATGGTGAACCATTACCTTTATTGAATTTTCCTAAAAATTTGGGACAGCTTATTTATTCTTAAAGGAATTTCTATGTCAGAATATATAATATTGAGAAGAAGAAGAATCTATATTTTGCAAATTAACTCTCAATATAGTCACATACAAGCTATCATGACATATAAAACTACCTTATATTAAAATTTGGGACAGTTCATTCAATATTAAAGGGATTTCTTTGTCAGAATATAATATATTAGCTATCGACTGTATAGCGCTAGGCTGCCCGGATGTACAAGCTTGCCAGGCTCAAGGCAAGCCAGACTGTCCGGATGTACAAGCTTGCTTGGATCAAGGCGAGTTAGAATGCGGGAATATTTAGGTTAAGTCAGAATGCCTGATGTACAATCTTGCCAGGCTCAAGGCAAGTCAGAATGCCTGGATGTACTAGCTTTCCAGGCCCTTGGCAAGTCACAAACTGTCTGGATGTACAAGCTTGCTTGGCTCTAGGCAAGCCAGACTGCCCGGATATACAAGCTTGCAAGTCTAAAGGCAAGTCAGCCTGGTCGGAGGTACAAGCTTGCTAGGCTCTAAGCAAGTGAGACTGCCAGGATGTACAAGCTCGCCAGGCTCTAGGCAAGTCAGACTGTCCGGATAATTATACAAGCTTGCCACGCCCTAAGAAAGTAAGACTGCCCGGATATACAAGCTTGCTTGGCACTAGACATGTCACACTGCCCGGATGTACAAGCTTGCATGACTTTGGGCAATGCAGAATGCCCGGATGAACAAGCTTGCTTGGCTCTAATCAAGTCACTAAGAATGTCCGGATGTACAAACTTGCCAGGCTCTAGGCAAGTCAGACTGTTCGGATGATAAAGTCTGCTTGGCCCTAGGCAAGTGAGACTGCCATGATGTACAAGCTTGTCTGGCTATATGCAAGTCATACTGCCCGAATGTACAAGATTGCCTCGCTCTATGCAAGTTAGACTGCCCGGGTGTACAAGCTTTCCTGGCTCTAGGCATTTCAGACTGCCCGGATGTATAAGCTTGTCTGGCTCTAGGCATTTTAGACTGCCCGGATGTATAAGCTTCTCTGGCCCTAAGCAAGTCAGTCTGTCCGGATTTTCAAGCTTAATTGGCTCTAAGCAAGTCAGAATGCCCGCATGTACAAGTTTGCCTGGTTCTAGACATGTCAGACTGCCCGGATGTATCAGCTTGCTTGACTCTATTCGAGTCAGACGGTCCGGATGCACAAGCTTTCATGGCTTTAGGCAAGTTAAAAGACCTGGATGTACTAGCTTGTTTGGCTCAAATCAAGTACATCTGTCCGGATGTACAAACTTGCTTTGCTCTAAGCAAGTCAGACAGTCCGAATATACAAGATTGCCTGGCTATGCAAGTCAAATTGCCCGGATGTATTAGCTTGCCAGGTTGAAGGCAAGTCAGAGTGCCTGGATGTATAAGCTTGCCAGGCTCTATGCAAGTCACATTGCCCGGATGTACAAGCTTGCCAGGCAAGTCAGAATGCCCGGATGAACAAGCTTGAGTCAGAATATCAAGATGCACAAACTTGCCAGGCTCTAATCATGTCAGACTCCCTGGATGTTCAAGCTTACCAGGCCTTAGGCTAATAAGACTGCCCGGATGTATAAGCGTGCGTGGTTCTAGGCAATTCAGGCACTGTCGGATGTACAAGCTTGTCATGCCCTTGTCAAGTCATGCACACGCTTACTAGGCCCTTGGCAAGTCAAACTGCCCTATGTACAAGCTTGCCAGGGTCGAGACATGTCCGGACGTACATACTTTTTGCTTGGATCTAGGCAAGTTAGAATGCCCAGATATACAAGCTTGTCTGGCTCTTAGCAAGTCAGACATTGTCCGGATATACAAGCTTGTTAGGCTCTAGGCAAGTCAGAAACTGTCTGGATATACAAGCCGACTAGGCCCTATGCAAGTCAGACTGTCCGGATGTACAAGCTTGCTTGACTCTAGACAAGTACAAGTCAGACACTGTTCAGATGTACAAGCTTGTTAGGCCCTCTGCAAGTCAGATACTGCCCGGATGTACAAGCTTGTCAGGCTCTAGGCAAGGCAGACACTGTCCGGATATACATGCTAACTAGGCCCTAGGGAAGTCAGGCTGTCCGGATGTACAAGCTTGCTTGACTCTAGGCATGTCAGACACTGTTCAGATGTACAAGCTTGTCAGGCCCTGTAAAAGTCAGAAACTTCCCGGATATACAAGCTTGTCAGGCTCTAGGCAAGGTAGACACTGTCCGGACAGGCTCTTGAAAATTGAGATTGTCCGGATGTACAAGCTTGTCAGGCTCTAGGCAAGTCACTTTTCGATTTAGCAGTTAAAAGTTAACAAACGACATTAGATCATATTTTGAATTTAAATCCATAATTTCATAGTCTATTAGTCTATTGTATTTCCAATAATTGATCATTTTCTTCATAAGAACCTTTTATGCACCTATATATAAATATGTATGCTAAAAGGACTTTAAGAAACTAATAAATATGTAGTATTTCTAAAATTATGTGGTCTACAAGTGACACATATTTTTATTATTATTTCAAATATTGATAAAAACAGTAGCAATGTATCATTTAGAATATATTATGAAATATTTCTGGATAAACATGTTGATAAGAGGTCTAAGTGTTTTATATGAACGTTTATATGATATGAATAATATGTTGTTCTAAAACAGTTTATGTAATATTGGGTCGAGTATCTCACTATGGTATACAACACTCATATAAAAATATATAATATTTCGTGGTTTGTTGTCATGAATGATACCAATTTTTTTTATTGTATCACAAACATTCCATTATAAACCAATTCACTTAAAGTAATACATGTTAACGCAAAATTATCATACAAAACATACAATACTGGCTGTGTCTTTGTATGGGGCAGCTCGTTATCACATGTAAGTTTGAGTAAATTGAATTAAAATGTATGAAGCATGTTATTATACTAAACATTGCACAAACATATTTAACATTTGACATTCCTCAGGAAATATCAAGAGCCAAGTGAAGCAATTTTGTTCAGTTATGCTATAATATCGATATTTTGGGAACAGAAATAACTTTTCTATATTCTTTGAAAAATAATCTTGGGCAAAAACATTACAAACGGTTTATTCTAAATTTCTTAAGAGCCAGAAACCTGAAAATTAATTTGTAGAGTATGATGCCCTTTAATGTTCTCATCCTGGTTCACTACATATGTTTCAACTATGGCTGAAATCGAACGAAGCAATGCAATACTAAATTTTCCTTGTTGCTGGAATTCTTCTCACTTACTTAATATTTAGAATTATTAGGAAGAGTTGTAACTCAATATATGGCATTCAAACTAGATTTAATTCGAACAATACCGGTTACCCGCAGCACTTGTTTGAAGAAACTAACATGTCTAAATATATACATTGTCAAAATATTACAAAGAATCATTATATTATAAAACAGTATTTTAGTTTAAGTATGATATTTTACGAGTCTTCTGTCCTTATTCACATGAAAATTCAAGAACAGTAAATAGAAGTTTCATACGGATGAATAAAAGGTGAACGAAGCACAATATAGTCACAATGATTGTGATATATATATACAGGTAATACGTGAATACAAATGTTTCATGTCTTATTTACAGAAAATATAAGATAATAATTATTACAAAATATCACTAGAATAACAAAACGCACCCGCTTAAGCAAATTAACAAACATAATATAAGCTTGACTTGATATCATCTATGTGAAATTAACATTCATCAATCAATTTACTTTTGATATAACACATATTTTAGTTTTAACATGTGAAGCACACATGTATAAACATTGAATTAAAAGTCTTTTCTACGAATAATGTTGATATTTCAAGTAGCAACATAACTGCCAGAACTCACCAGTCCTTAAAACAGTATTTTTCTATTACTTCCAAACGACCCCGTTATTTATACAAAATTATACCTAGCATAACACGTTTTAATCTATTACACAAGTCAGTGAGACTATTTGTGTAACAATATCTTCCATTAAGATGACAGAAATACAAATATTACAAACAATCCTTCTATAAAGTTTCCGAATAGACTAGAACGTTCAAGACGAATCTTTCAAGTAGGTTCTCATGATTTATCGGCTTTGTTTTAGATCTGTATATGTGTGATATTTCTCAACATCCTGATTCAGACTTTCATACTGAGATTGGCTGAATATAGACATATGAATGAACATGTTACAATGAATAATTAAAACTATTAAGTAAAAGTAACTAACAATAAGAAAGTAAAAATGTAGATCTAATAACACTTATTAACATGATTATGCCAAACATTCAGTTTACAGTCTTTGGTCAACAATATGTACTCTTAAGATATACCATCAAAAGATAATCTGTTTGCATTGTTTTCTTTTACCAATCATTGTTAGTAATTTGAAGCATTGAGCCAGCTGAATTATTAGGTACATTACCAAGGACAAACAAAGGTAAGAATGTACTTTATATTGCTAGTATCCCGTAGATTAGTTAAAGATGTATCCTATATTCATGTTCATACATAATGGGCTAAGAATTTAGTATATAAAGAGCATTGCAGTTTCATCAATCTTGGTATTTATGGAAATTTTATATTAAAGCTAGCTAAGAAATAAGTACATACTTGTGTAAATATTTATGATTTTCATACCTGTTTTGTTCTACTCTGGAGTTGACTGAAACAGATAATTTAAAAGAAAAGGAATGGTAGTTATTTTTGTTACGAAAACCATTGCATTCGTTTTAATAGCAATTATGCTGTGTATACATCATAAATACAGGTTGACTTTATATTGCAAAATATTAAAATATTTTTAGTTGACTATATATTTGTTTAAAATGCTACACGATCTTGTAATATTATTTTATCAAACCGAATGATAATAAATTAAATACATGTTAAATATATAACGACATAAAAAAATATTGAAATTCAACATACCTTCAAGTGAATCATAAGTTCCCCTGATTTCAGTATCTGTTCTGTTTTGAAGTTGCTCATAGGTATCCCTAGTAGAAATGATTTTCAAAAAGAGTTCAATTTCAATGCCAAAGCGTTGTCGTCAAAGATTGGTGGTTGGTATGCACCAACAAGGCATCTCCCTAGTTTGGCCATTTTTAATTTTTGAACTGATGTTTCATATAATTTTGAGATATTTTAAAATCGTGATTTTCGATTGATTATAAAAACTCATATTATGTCATATAAAGTCATTGGGAAAGAAACTTGCAATGTTATATCAAGAAAGATATTTAAGACGTTCGTAACTTACAGAGCAGTTGGTGGTCCAGTTAATTCTATTTCACGAGAAACTGTCGGCTGAGTTTTCGAGCCTGTGTTATCAAATAACATAGTAAAGCATTTAAAACACTAAGCTGTTACTGCGTCTAAAGTTAAATAAATTAATGAACGTTCAAACCACATACACATGCAAAAAATATCGTTCATAGCATATATTACAGACTAACCTTTATATTAAGATCTGTTTGATAAAATTAGAATTGTTACCACTTAAAACGGTAAATAATTCATAGAATAACAAATGATGTTGTTTTCAATTTTTTGTTTTACATAATATATTAAAAAAGAACTGTTTTCCTGCAAAAGTAATAATTATAAAACAAATCAATCAGTAAAGCTACAAAATTTATAGACAACACCACACGTTTTTTTCTGTCAAATGTTATTGTTTTATTACTGACTTATTTTAAAAAATAACAACCAACAAATGAAAGAAAACTAGTCCTAAAATAAAAGCTTAAACATTCTTTTAAAAGATCTAAACTAATGCAGTGTTCAAATATGGTTTTATGTGTTATCGATAACTATGAGTCTATTTCAAGTCTGCTTATAAACCATATTTTTTAAATAATTTTCTATGAATGACAAAAACCGATGTTATAACAATACCTGCTATAATTCCTTTTCTAGTAAGAATATACATGGTACAAGTCACACCAATAAGAATTCCAACAGCTAATGCAGCAATCACAGACCCAATTACAGCTCCTAAACCTACACCTGTTTCGTTTGTGCCTGTAAACACAAAAAGATCAATGCTCTGCATAGTCTTGCACTTAACAACATTCGTATTAAAGACCACTTGCATGCCATTTTCTTGAAGGAAGTTAGTTTTTTCTCTTTCGCATAACAAAAATCCTATGATGGTTATTTCTCGTAATTTGACATTTCATTTAGCCCAAATTTGGACGGAAATATATTCCGAACCCACGCCCCTCAGTGTCAATGCAGTTTACAGCTTATCCTATTTTAATACTCTGAAATGCGGAGTTAATGCAATAGGGGTATACTACCTTAAGGTAGACAATGGGTAATGGGCACCATAAGGAACTGTAAAATTGACAACATAGGACAGTTATATGTCTTCAAGGTCACCTGTATGCAAAATTTAAATAAAATTTACCGTGTGGTTTATGAGTTATGGATATATTTCTGAACTAAGACTTTGCCATTAGAAGGACTTATTTTCAGAAATGAGGAAACTGTAAATAATCTGTAATATCATCATTATAAAAATGTTTTTCATTTGCTCATTGTAAAGAAACAAATAATAACATTCAGGTTACACATTACACAAGCAAAATGTTTGTTTCTAAACAAAATGTTCTTAGTACGTATAAAAATGTTATCCCACCCCACCCACTTTTAACACTAATTTTACCATTTCCCTATCTAAAATGCCTTATTCAAAATATCCCTTAAATTTATCGAAATGAGGCTTTGTTTTCAAAGTTTGCCTAAATTTTCTCAAAGGTATATTAGTTGATCATGCGAAATATAAAATACTTTTACCGTGTAGTTTTTATTTTATCGAACTTTGAAAATATCTGGTATCATATTTGCTATAAATTTTGGCATTATTTACCAAAAAAAAAATCCTAAAATAATTATATAATTTAAATCAAACTTTTTTTCTTCCATAAGGGATCAGAGAGATACATAAATAATGTTAAAAAGAAAAAAAGAAAGAAAAAAAAAAGTTGCCCCTTCTGGGGTTTGAACCCACGCCCCTCAATTTCAATGTAGTTTACAAGCGATTCTAGCCTATTTGAATACTCTTAAGAGTAGAGGTAATGCATTACCCATGGTCTACCTTAAGTTTACATGGCAAACAACAATTTTGAAATGAATGCTTAACCATATCATTGTTGAAACTGCAGTTAAAACCATATGCACAATTCAACGGGTGGAAATTTTGATATTTTTGTCTTCTTATGTCACACTTGATTTCTTCTTAAGTACAAATTACCAAGTATCATGTATATAGGTCAATTTCGTGACAATTAAAAGTGAAAGCCAGATTTTCACTTCATGATAAATATATGACAGGTGTCCCAAACATTTCAAATGCTATTTTGTATTTATCAAATGAAAAAATAAGTATTCATAACGATTTCAAATCAATACATCATATATATATTAATGAAAAAAATGATCCCTCGGAAGCACTAGTCAGAATGAAATTACATGAAAATTGCAGACTCGATTTAATTGAGTTTGTAAATGAAGCATAATAAATTCGTACAACATACCTCGTATGCAATAATGAGGTAGCGCAAGACATTATTTCGAACTTAACATGATTTAAAGAAATTCTCACCCAACAAGCATACTATAATATACTAGTAGAGCTATCATTTATTCTGTCATTGATCAATATCTCAGGTATTACATTACATGGTCTTTTCACTTATATAGAATAACTGTCAATATTCTATGCACAGAACTTAAAGTTATTCTTCATTTTTATCACATACCTGCTTTTGCGATTCCGATAAAAACGGTATTGCACAATCGTGCATATATTTATATATCATTTGCGTTATACAAACATAGCATTCTAAATGCTAGCGTTATACACTAGTTGTTTTTCTTAAATTAAAATTCGATTTTTCAATAATAGTCAATGTTTGCATCTCACGCATGCGCATTTTGCGTATGGCCTAAACGAAATAACGATGACTACAATTAATTATATTTAAAGGATAGAATAGTCGTGATTTCAAGTTTTGTCACCCAGAAACTAAGGGATTTAATTAAGCGTAGCGTGCTGTAAGAGCAAAGTTGTGTATGATTTCAGAATTTAATATTTTTTTTAGTGATTCGCGGAACATCATGGTAGTTGGAAGCAGTTTACTGTTTGCATACTTAAATAACGGTTTCTGTAGAAGTCAAACGCCCGTTTTTTTACCTGCGCCGGTTTGCAAAATTTTTATTGTTAACATAGGAATTAAAAATATTTATGTCGTATATTTCATACAATTTGCCGTATGGTTAGATATTTCAATTGTTAATACAAATATTGTTCTCATATATACAATAATACTTTATAATATTTATAATCTGGATGTTATACGAACTTAAATTACAACCGTTGTTCGTGTAACAAAAACCCACATAGACAGATAGAACAATGTTGGACATTTTCTGACTTTACCTGTTGTACTCATATTATCGCCTGTCCTTATACCATCTCGGTTTGCTGTAATTTATAAAATAAAACTTACTTTAATAACATAAAACAGAGTTTATATCAAACATAGTTAACTTCATAAATATGTGAATGCTATTGTGCATGTGCAAGAGAGAGAGAGAGAGAGAGAGAGAGAGAGAGAGAGAGAGAGAGAGAGAGAAAGAGAGGGAGAGAGAGAGAGAGAGAGAAACACGTTTCGTAAAACTTTATACGAGTATTTGCTATTGTTAGTAGGTTCAGCGACATTTCGAGCACTCCAGAATACATATGATGTTTTGATCTTTCATTATTTGTAACTTATCACCATTCGAATTTGAACTAAGTAGAACATATTTTTAAACACATAATGTTCATATGTCACTTGACACTTTGACAGTTTGAAAGTAATTTTCCTTGCAACTAGAGAAGTGAATTAAGTGTGCTGTAAGAGGACAGTGGCGTATTATGTCACAGTTGTAAATGAACATATACATTCAGCTTCCTATTTTACATGTTCTCGCTCTCATACAGAAATATGCAATGTCGATCCAGATATATTGAACTTTAAAACTGGAGGGACTGAAATTTGATTCCAATACAATATCATGTATTTCATAATTAGAGATTGGTGCAATCGGAATATTTATCTTGATAATAAGCTCACATATGCAGATACAGATTAAAACTCAAACACAGCAACAAATAAATCAGAAAAAAAGTTACTTAGATTACTTAACAATGAAACAAAATATCCCAAGAGTGATATTTCAAATTCTAAGTCTACGTTTGGATATAAATATAATGCTTATTTAAATGTTGAAAAAAGTATCTAAATATTGTGATCTTTATCAACAAAATTAACGAAATGTCTAAAAACTTACAAGGCAAGAGGATTTTGACAGTGTCTGTAAGGTCAACAAGAAACTCGTCACACTCAACTTTACACGTTACATCTGTACCATTGTCTTCTTCACGGACATTCAAGTTTACTTCATACACAGAATTCCACGCACCATGGGGTAGACTTATATTCTCTGAAGACTTTTCTGATCCAATGATACCGCTTGTAGCTTTAATCTGAACGTTGCAGACTGGATTCGAGCCATACACAGTGCAAGTAGCATACATTAGACTGTCTTCATCACTTTTGACTTCTAACATCACATCCGTGGGAGGAACTAAACAAAACAAGAAATTAAACATAAAAACCATGTACTGTTATTCGAACAATTTCATTTAATACAATATACGTTTTCATGTTACAGGCTGAAAAAAGTTGTTTTTTCCAGAAGATATTTGTTTGTTTTGCTTAAGAAAGTACACATGTTTTGAAACAATATCATCACTTGTTAACATCAGTATGTTATTCTTTTTTTCTTTTTAACACTCGCTAATAAAACCACTAAAGAGACTTCCCAAATCTGGTTTGCAAATAAATAGCGTTATGGCCCCATTAATGTGTTCGGTCAAACAGAAAACCATGTATTACAAGTGAAAAGAATCTAAAATATAGGGGCACTCAGTAGACTATGAATGAAATAGGATAAACTGTAGTACACACAATATTTTAAAGAAATCTAATAGAAAAAAAAATCTTACAATGATAATTAATTTGTATTGGCGGCGAACAGTCCCGAACAATTGTGTACCATTCGTTATATCGACAGCACGTGATGTTTTCTTTGTTCCATTCTTTCTTGAATGTGGTCAAAGTGATAATGTTGGTATTTAAAGATGTAGTCGAATTATAATAATGTGAGTTTGCAGACGATACTTCTGAACCAGAAATACTAAAATACACATTCGGATTGGGTCTTCCATCATCCAACGTACATGTGATGTTAACAGCTTCTCCGTCTCTTAGAATTTCCGGCACCGAAACTTGAAACGTTGGTGGTTCTGTAAATATACAAATAAAGGTTTATCTCCTTGAATCAAACAAAAATATCAAAGTAAAAAATGCGTGAGATTAAAATAATCATCTTATTTTGTTGATACATGCAGTTTTATTTCAAATGCAAATATCATTTTCTTTCATTTAAGAATGAAAAGAAATCAAAATGTTTAAACAATGATAATAACATTTGGCATTGTGTGTTTTCAGAAGCGTAATAATATTCAAACATACCATCTAAATACACATGAATTAGCATTATATACTTACTTATAACAAACATCTGAGCAGTAGCACTTAAAGGTGACGACAATGCATCGTTCATGACTGAAAATATTACACTTTCCATGTGATGGTGGTCCCTAACCGTGAAAAATACCATAAAGGTTGTTGAATTCAATTCTTGAGGTTGATATGACTCATTTCCTATTGTCATGGTAACAATTAGAGGACGGGAACCACCGTGTATCTCACAGGTAAGTTTGAACATCTCATTATCCTCACCAACAATACAGTCAGTGCAATTTTCTATGTCTTGTAGACCAACTATTTTAGGTACACTTGGTGGTTCTAAAAAAATATGCATACTATTTTTAACAATATAAACAGATAATGAATTATTTATATTCTTTTTGGTATATACGTTTTTTGATATTTTGCCCTATACTACACTGATATCTTTTAACAAAAACACATTTAGACAGACCTGAAGATAAATAAATTTGTACACGCACTTGTTGAGTTTATGTGTACATGTATTTGCACACTAAACAACACTTCTAACGCAAAACCTACGTAATTTTTCTTAATTATAATCTGATAACGGATTCATTGTTTTGTAATAAATATAATAACAGTAATGATAAAAGTAACTTCTCTTGTTTTACTAATATAAAGTCTGCTTATTTTGTGCTTAGATTTTTATTATGATCATTTTGTGGACGGGAGCTATTTTCAAGTAATGATTAGATCTATTCTGTAATTATAGATATAGTTATATATTGTACAGACATATCCGTGAATTGTTATACTTTCCTGTTTTAGGGTCTGATTCCTTTTCGGTAGAGTCTATAGTTGTAACGCTCGCTTGATTCGCGAACACACTTATTCAACACATTCACATGTATGATTTAAATGCAAAATTAGTGCAACATTTTAAATGATTTGAATTTTTTAATGGAAATCTTACATTTTAAAGCGATATTAACAGTTCATCTACATTTACTGTAACAAAATTGATGATTTTGAATGGTTTTATTGATGCATGTCGATGGCCCGCGCGCTTTCAATATTAATTGCAGAGCATATTTTTGTACATTAAGATTCTTTTACAATTTTTTATTGTCGCCTACACCGGTTATTATTACGATCAGGGTCTTTCAAATAGAATGGTCTGGAAACCCTTCTCGCTACAATGAAAAATGTCTCGGTATTAGTCGGTATAGTTTGCTATATAGCAAATTATGTAAGTGTTAAAGAAAAGGGCGAATATTAAATACAAGAGCAAAAATGAAAATTCTAATGACATGATGTTATTTAAAAATCTTTAAACTTTTGAAAAAAGGATAAATATTTCAGGAAATGATGTTTTTTTAATGCCATCTTTGTTAAAAAACATAGATTGTTTGTTCAGAATATTTGCCGATAATCGGCGCCAATTTTAAAAATGCACCAAATTAAACCTCAAATATTTGCAAATAACATCGTGAAATATTATAATAGTTTTACATGATACGATTTAATAACATCTTTTCTCTGTAAAATCAAATTCTATTTTTTCATTGAACAATGCATGAATGTAAAAAAAGCTCACGAAACTCGGACCTATTTTCAAATATGAGCAGTAGATCTTTACCTTGACACCGAGAAAAAAAAATCTAATTTCATTGCAAATCCTTAAAATAGTTACTTTTAAAGTAAAAACTGATAAAATAATGTAGTCAGAGTTAGTTTTTAGTAATTTTTTGATTGCTTCAACAAACCATTATCTTATAATTTGATTTTTGTATGCCATATCACGGTCGGTAGATAACCCAATCACGTGACTCAACCGGTAAAATTGGTCTGTCTCCAGACCATTCTATTTGAAAGACCCTGTTACGATGCACATACACTGACATCCGTGAATCTTTTGATTACGAAATAACATTTGTTATAATAAAATTACAATTTTGTTAAAAACGAAATAGTATTTAAAAAAAAAAAAACATTTGTTAAAAAAGGAAATAACATTTGCTAAAAACGAAATATTATTATTTTTACGAAATGACATTTCGTATTTACGAAATGATAAAAGTAAATCAACATGTCGTTAAAAAATTAAATAGTATTTCGTAAAAGTGAAATAGCATTTTGCTACAAGAGCTGTCAGTCAGAGAAAAGTTAATGTAAAAAAGAAACCTTTTTAGAGTTATGAACCTTGTATAATGACCTTGCATTATGATGAAGAAGACATGATTTAAGTTTCAAAAATATAAGTTCATAAATTTATAAATAAGTTTTCATGCAGAACTTAAAAGTGAGTACCTTCATAAATATTGGTGAAAAGGTACTGCATGCAAAACTTTAACAAAACATCAAGTTCAAATCGGACAATAGTTTTGTCAAAATTCGTGTAAAAAAATGTCAAAGATGCAATTGCATATTATAAATAATCATAAATAATGTGTTTCGCTCACATTACTTTAGCTAAAATCGATCAACAAGTAGAACTGGTCGCCCGTCATGTTTGAATGACTGAGTTGCATTCATGTGCAGAGTGTACTAAATGGCATGTTAAATCATATTTATATGTTGCGTTAGAAATATCTTTCAAGTGTATATCAATATTTATTATTTGTTTTAAATACAAGCCATGTCACCGTTTATAATTCTTATGATCTTAAGAATATTTCAGTTTAGAAACAAACACAAACCTGGTAATTTCACGGTTATAAAATCTGTGTATTTTGCGGAAGAGCCACAATAAACACCATAATCTCCATCCATAGAAATATTGAACATAAATATTGTCAACACATATTTATTATTTTGCTCAAATGTCTCCTCGTAACTTCCTCCAACCAATGTCAATACTTTGTTTCTCCCTCTGACGGAATGTATCCATCTACGTTCGAAACTACCGCTATTTTGCATCACATCAGTTGACGGATAATATTCGATTTCCACGGTTCCATTAACAATCACCTTTTCAGATCTGAGGTAGACGAGTCCACACGAATTGTTTATAGCTTAAAATAAAATAAAGTAAGGAAAATGATTATTCAATGTTATTTAATTTGTGTTGATATCAACATATTTGGTATAGACCATATATAATGTATCATATAAATAAATATTCAATAAGCAGTTACAGTAAGATAATATAAATAAAAATAATGATAATTGATTATGGCTAGCTATAGATAGTGGCTACCTGTTTACTTATAAGCATCGAAATACATTGAAACATTAAAGAAAATTAAATATGCAGCAACAATATTTATTCTACAATACCTTCAAGCGTAAGTTTCCCAGCGTCCATCCAGCAATGTATTGTCTCATTATAATAATGAACACGGTAAAATCCCTCGTCATTGTTTCTGACACTGTCTGTTAATATCAGGTAGTAAATCATATTTTTCTCAAACTGATTAAACTTGTTGTTTAAAGGGAGCGTTTTCCATTGATCTTTTCCATTCATGCTGCGCTGCCATTCTAGAATTGCATTTGGATCATACGTGTCGGGGGTAAAAGAAAATGCTACATTCCTTCCTAGTATTGTGGGTTTGTCAATACTCAATTTACCACACTTACTCAAACCATCGTCACCTGTAGAATGACCCCATCATCATTTAAAACATTCACATTTTATCTGACTGTATTAATGTATTGTTATGATAATTACAATTAACCAATTTTCTTATGAATGTTAAATGTTTCGAAAAGTCTTCGCTATTATATCAGCCTATATGTTTTACATTTTCATGAAATCCTTTATATTGAAAACATTCATTTTCAATTGTTCTGATGTTTTTCCTTGTCATATCGGGTAATATTTGATTTGCAACAACACGGAATGAGTCGAAATATGTCGGACTCACATTAAGGGTAAGACATATTCCCAATTTCCTCATAAATTTGTTTCATTTATCATTTGTTTTAATCATGCAAAGCTTAAAAACAATTTTGTAGTTAAAACTTTCTTTAAGTAACGTTGCCAATGGGAATTCAATGTAAAGCCCAAAGAAATTGTGACGACCAACATTGCTGCCATGTTTACATATTGAAAATTTCGACACATTTTTGTTTCTAATACGATTTTGATTCGACATATTTGATACAAACAACATTTCCTGGCGCTTCACGTGATTGAAATTGTCTTTCGTACTTTTGTCACGCATGGTTGATTTTAATACGATAACTTGGTTTCAATCTTTAGTTAAATAACATTCTGAATAATATGTCAGAAACCATAGGTAAGCATAGCTAAGACTTTTCGAAACAGGGCATTTTAAGGGGTGACTAATAAGAAATTTGGTTAAGTGTACTACTACATGTACTATATTGATTTGTATGAATATATTTTAAAACAAACACATTTATAATGATAACAGATGTCATAAAAATATTCCTGCTGCACATTTTTAAGGTACGTGTGGCATATTCTAATTAGTGACAACAGCTCAATGTAACCATGATTGGCACTTGAAAGTACATGTTTAATAAACCGTTGGAAAGATAATATATATTCTTCTGTCAGGTGGGTGTAAAACTTAGAACTAATGTAAAAGATGAAACCCGACCTAGGCTGCCAATTTCCGCTACCTCTGAAAAAGACACGAGCACTGTCAACGCAAAAGTTGATTAAGGCGCAAGATATATCGTGGAGGAAAAAAGTGACATATCGGGCCTAAGTGCCTCATATTGAAAGTGTTTGCCGTTGGATTCCACTTTTGCTAACTTCTTAACAAAAAGGGAACGCCTTGAAAAAGCCTCGACCTTATTGACTAGGTTGAATGATCGAGACCCTAGACGCCTACAAGAAATTGTCACAGGGTATGAAACGTGGCGTTATCTTTTTGAGCCCGATAATGAACTCAGTAACAAAATGTTGATAGATGAAAACAGCGAAAGCGTTTAAAAAGTTATGTACACTCTATTTTTGACAGTGACGGAAAATGGCCCATGTCGCTGTGTCTGAGAGGGGAAGTGTCACTAAAACACTTTGCCATGGCCATGTACTCACTTCTGTAGTTAATCACTACGTTACAAAGAACCTAAGGTCTGTTTAGTACAGGATCAAATTAGTCTATGGTGATGCACCTACGCACCGGTCAACCTTGCTTCAAGCTTATTTGGAGGAGCATAGAATTAAGGTTTTGCCTTATGCCGCTTATAGTCCTTACCTCTCTTTTTGTGACTATTGGTTAAATCCAGACATTAAATCTTGCCTTTACTATGGCATGATATTGAGGTAAAACTTACACAATGCCTGCTTAATGTTACAATTTACTCATTGACACTGCTATTGTGCTTATTTGTACAGTCACTATGCATGCTTGTACTTTCATCACGCTTGTTGACAATTACACACTGCCTGCTTACTGTTACAATTTTACTCATTGACACTGCTATTGTGCTTATTGATACAGTCATTATGCATGCTTGCACTTTCATCACGCTTGTTGACAATAATACCATGCTTGCTGGAAGTTACAACTTGTTTGGTGTTTAGTCCCTGGTGCCTTTTTCATATTTTCATTTGAGTGAATGACAGTGCAATCTAGCGTAAAGGTTTATTTCACCATGCTGTGCCAGTGGTTATCTTGGTTAATTTGTAATGCATCCAAGAACAAAATACACGAAGTGATCAACCAGTATGGAAAATGTCAGGCACTAGGCAAAATATAACTAAGCATAATGTCATTTCAAAATTATAAGTCACATTTTGATAACAGGGGGCTCTATGTTCTAGTCTTGTTTTTCCGTAATTTGAATATTTGTTTTGCCGGAAAGATTATCGTGGATATCCGAATATGTATAGAGAGATCTATCAATAGATATTTTCCAATTTGCCATTTGTCGTAACTGTTTTTAGCAAAAAGATAACAAATAGTCTGTCTGTCACTTCTTTTACCGGTAGCATTGACTATATATTCTGTATGCATACCATAACGTCCAAATATAGGCCACAACAATTAACATTGATTCATTGTTCAAAACTTTGACTTGAAAAAGTTTAATGCCAACAGGACTGACCAGTAATGATGATGATACATCTAATTTAAGTAATTTGAATTGATTTAGGGGCTAGCTTAAATTTTAGCTTGCCTTCTACATCTCATATGCTTAAATTAAATTGTTTTTCTTAGAAATAGACTTGCGGTTTGAAATTACTGAAATTCCACAAATTAAGGGGGGGGGGGAATCCCAGGATCCGGGATCGTATTAGATATAGAGGGAAAACTAATAAACTATATTTGTGTAATGATTATTGTCGTAATGAAAGGCGATTTTAAAAACGTTATTTTTTTTTTATTGTATGTAATGAACGGTAAATTAATTTAACTTATGATATAAATATATTTAGAGCTATTTATTAACAAATATTATTATTATCACAATACTTATAATTATATGCCTAATTGATTGAAAAAATTAAAGACTTTATTCTTGAATTGGTCAAATTCCGGGATCCCTATATGTTTTAATACGATCCCAGCTTTTGTGAAAACTATATTCTTGAACTGGTCAATTACCAGATCTTTATATTATTTTAATACGATCCCGGCTTTTCTGAAAACTAAATTCTTGAAATGGTCAATTCACGGGATCCCTATATGTTTAAATACGATCCCGGCTTTTCTGAAAACAATTTTCTTGAACTGGTCAATTCCCGGGATCCCTATATGTTTTAATACGATCCCGGTTTATCTGAAAAATATCTCCTTAGACTGGTCAATTTCCGGGATCCCTATATTTTTTTAATACGATCCCGGCTTTCTGGCTGAATTGATTGAAAACTTGTGTTTACTTTTCTTTTTTCTTATTGCATATTAGCACTCTTGATGCCCAATATACTACGACTTTCATTGCCATTACATGTACTTATTAAATAAGATTGTGTGTGTGTGTGACATTCTGAGGTCAATTAATTAACGCTTTTGTCTGTGAAAAAAAAGAAGTTCTTTTTAAAGATTTTTTATAACTACTATAAATCAAACTTATTTAGAAATCTCTACTAAAAACATTCAAATGATGATGATAATAATAATAATACACCGAGAGTAGGTGGTTAATTCCCGAGCTTACTATATGTTTAATACGATCCCGGATCCCGGCTTTTCTATAGGCGATCCCGGGAATCCCCCCTCCCACCTAATTAATGGCGTAATTTAAACAAAGGAACAGAACTGATGGGAAACGGTTTAGGCAACAGCTAATTATAGTCCGGCATATTTCGCGAAACTTACGAACGTGCGCCCCCTGGTATCAAAATGTGACGTGCAAATTTGCAATTCACATTATGCTTACTTTCAACTTGCTTAGTGGCTAATTGCATCTTTCATTTTGTGCGGTTTTGATCTCGGAGCATTATAACTGTGCAATGTTGAAATTTAAAACTTATATACAGTCCCGGTATGTTGCAATATTTCATTACGCTACATTGCAGCACTGTCATTCAGGCATATATACATCAGGGACTAAACATCAAACAAGTTGTAACTTCCAGCAAGCATGGTATCATTGTCAACAAGCGTGATGAAAGTGCAAGCATGCATAATGACTGTATCAATAAGCACAATAGCAGTGTCAATGAGTAAATTGTAACAGTAAGCAGGATGTGTGTAATTGTCAACACGCGTGATGAAAGTGCAAACAAGCATTGTGTAATTTTTACCTCAATATCATTCCATACTTTACGATCGCCAGTTCGAAAGCCGTATGCCATCTGAAGCGCTCTCTAGCATTGTATCAACGGTATACCCAATTAAATGTTCAAAAATGCTTTTTTTCGGAACGGATCCTGGGGTGGAAATGTGTGTATAGGTTCATAGTAAATAGTCTGAAGTACTATCCTAATCATTTTTCAATGTTCACAATATATACGAAAAGAAACAGGATGGTATTACGTACACTATCTGTTTTGGTAGGTTAAAAGGTAAAGGTTAGTGATATAAATGATATTGATACAGCCAAAACATTTGAAATATCATCGCATTATAGTTATACTGTTGGATTGATGGTTAAGATTTTCCAATGTCAACACAAGTAATATATTTCGGCGCTCGGTCAACCTTAACGGCTTAAAATTTCTTTGATGACCAACCAGTGATTATCAATTTTTCCATAAGAGATCGACTACTAATCTGAACCAGTGGTAAGAGTCAAATGATCATGAGACTCAGTGTGTGAGATCAATACCTTGAACAAAAATCGAAACAAGCGACACTTGCCCCATGTAAAAAAATTAAAAATGTGGATCAATTATTATTTTTATTTCTTCATAGAAATTGAATTGATCGTCAAAAGGTACATAAACAAAATGCAAAAAGATAACTGATTTACAAAGAAACTACAATATTTGTTTTTAATCGAAGGACCAAGAACCATGATTATGGTTCAATTATGGAT